ACCAGGAGCCAGGAGGTCATGGTTATATTCCTGATCAGGACACGTACCTGGGTAGGGGGCTCAATCCCCAGTAGGGGGCATACAAGAGGCAGCCAATCAACGATTTTCTCTCATCAGTGATTCTTCTCTCTCTCGTTCCCTCTCCCTTCCTCTCTCTGAAATTAATAAAAACATTTCTTTTAAAAAATAAATGATAAAAACAAACAACTAGAGCTATATTTCTTAACTTGAACAAGAGCCAGAAACAATTTAAATAAAAAATAAGTTGCAGAATGATAAAATGTTAAAATGTGAAACAAAGTTATATATTGTTAATGAATGTTTATATTGATATAAATTATAAAGATATAAACAGGAATAGTAAACACTAAATATAAGACAGTGGTATTACTTGGGAGAAAGAGGAGGAATGGGGTTGGGAAGAATTATACAAAGGATTTCAACTTTATTCATAATGCTTTTGGTGTTCATGAGTGCTTATTATATTGTTTTCTACAGTTTTTTGGAATAATTGAAATATTTAATAAAAATGTCAAACAAAAGAACTGATTAAATAATTATACATAGTGAGTAAGGATTAAATAATTTAAAAAATTGACCAGCACCCTGGCTGGTTGTGGCTCAGTTGGTTGAGCATTGTCCCATTCACTGGCTCGATTCATGGTCAGAGCATATGCTGGTGTTGTAGGCTCTATCCCCCAACAGGGGACAAGCAGGAGCAGCAGATAGATGCTTCTTTCCCTCTCCTTTCCTCTCTCTAAAATCAATAAAAACATCTTTTAAAATAAGTTTTCTTAAAGTGGTTCTATTATTTCACCAGAAATTTAGTTTAGTGTTAATGTCTTATGTATGTTACCCATCTTCCATAATACACATATCATCTAACAAAGGTATTCCTTGTTCTGAAAGCAAGTCCACACAGAGTTAGATGCTTTTTTCTTTCTATGTCTATTCGTGTAACAGTCACCATATGAAGAAAAACTTGATTCAGTACTGTTATCTCAAGTAACAATTCCTTCCATTCCTACCTATCACAAATCCCACATTATAAACAAAAACAACTTGTACTCCAAATTACTTAAAATATAACATGACACTTTGAGTCAGATGTTGACAACCTCCAACATGTGTGCTATCGATAAATTCCGAATAACACAGCCAAGGCAAAGCACAGGCCCAATGCTAAAGAAGGCAGAGTTTTATGTCTAGTGCTAATGAAGAATATGCCTTCCTAAATTCTCTATTAGCACTAAATTTTATATAATCTTATTTTTCTGTGTAATCCCTGTAAAGAAAAAATTGGCTGCTAACCAGGATAACTTCTTTTTATATATACAGTGTCCCTCCCAAAATGTATACACACTTTGAATAATTATAAAGGCAGTGTTTATTAAAACACATTTCATTTTCAAAATTGAGCTATCAGCTGTTAAAGTGTGTAGACATTTTTTGGGACACCCTGTATATGTATATTTTTAGTCCTCACTCCAGGACATGCTTATAGGGAGAAAGGAAGAGAAAGGAAGAGAGAGAGAGAGAGAGAGAGGGAGGGAGGGAGGGAGGGAGGTATCATTTGAATCAGCAACATTTTGGTACACAGGACAAAGAACTACAACTAAGCCACTCCAGATAAAGAGTGATGGCAAGAACATTATATATAAAAAAGGTGATGGAATACATATTAAAATAAATAGCCGAGCACATTTCTAGTGATCCTTACAAATGAAAGAAAATCACATTTCTAGTGATCCTTACAAATGAAAGAAATGGTTTGGAAGGATTTAAAAAAAAATAATAATTTCATTGATTTCAGAGACAAAGAGAGAGGGAGAGTTGGAATTATCAATGATGAGAATCAGCGATTAGCTGCGCCCCGCACATCCGCTGCTGGGGATCCAGCCTGCAACCCAGGCACGTGCCCTGGTCATGACCTCTTGGTTCATAGGTCAATGCTTAATCACTGAGCCATACTGGCCAGGCTGGAAGTTTTAACTATGGCTCATCATTGTACTACTACAGAAATAACTTTTCTTTAAAGTTAATATTTACTTCAAAAAGCTAAAGTTATTTGAGATGCCTTAAAAGAAGTTAAGAAATCTTTATTCCTCCAACAATTCTGTTATTCATTTGCCTAACAAACCTAACTCTGCCAAGCTCCCAAGTAAAATTCTGATTATGTAAAATATGAAAAAAAGAAAAGCAAAAAGAATAAAGCTTGTCTCACTAAATATTCAATCTACTTAGCTGCCAGAGCCTAGCATCTATACTGACTGATTTAGCTGAAACAATTCAATAAAGCAATCTGAGAGAAGTAGTATCAGGAGCAGGAGCTCAGTGACTACTTTGAAAGTGGCTGCTATTCTATTGTATTAGTATTCTCTCTGCCACTGCTCTTGGGAAGGATTGCTAAATATCAAATCTGGGCCTAAATAGCAATACATTTTAAGACTTTAACCAGCCGAACAGACTGAAGTTAAAAACTATGCTATACCCGAAGCCAGTTGGCCTGCAGACCATAAGGTCCCAAGGTTCAATTCCGTACCTTGGTTGCAAGCTCCTCCCCAACCCGGACCCTGGTCAAAGTGCATGCAGGAGGCAACCAATTGATGTGTTTTCCCTCACATCCATGTTTCTCTCTGTCTTCCCCTCTCTCTTCCATTCTCTCTGAAAATTAATGGAAAAATATCCTCAAGTGAGGATTAAAACAAATAAACAAACAAAAAAACTGTGCTATAAACTTTCCATCATGACCAAAAGAATACACTGAGGTATTTTTAAACACCCATGACTAATTTGCTAAATGTTCCGAAAACAGGTATGTTCAAGGTTCTTGAAAACAGAGCAGCATATTATTGATAATGTCTACCTGTAGAGATCAGATTCCAAAAGTGTCAGCTGACGTGCAATTTCTATTGGATGAAGTGTCATGAGATCAAATGTTTCAAACTGTCCTGGTCTGCTGATATGCCATTCAATTGGAGGAGGTGGATTTTCAAAGGTAATATTATGGCTTATTCCATTTGCCTGAGCTTGTTTCTTCCTCTTGATGATCTTAGCAATTGACTCTACCCATTTCTTCATAGCTTTCCCTAGATAAAGGTACAAAACAAAAATGCTTTTTATTTGATAGATAACATAAACCTTTACATAATGTTTAACATTTACCTAGCTTCAACAAGAACCAACTCAATGGTGTCCTTTTGTTTCATCTAACCCCAATCATGTCCTCCCTTCTATCCCTGTTATTTAAAAACAAATCAAATATTTAAGTATACATTTATTCAAAAGTTAAAGATTTTAAAAAATAATACCATGATCACATATAAAAAACAATAACTTCTTAATATTATCAAATATTAGTGTTCAGTCTGGCTGGCGTTGCTCAGTGGTTGAGCATCAACCTATGAACCAGGAAATTAAAGTTCAATTCCCTGTCAGGACACATGCCCAAGCTGAGGGCTCAATCCAATGATTGAGGCAGCCAATCAATGATTCTTTCTCATCATTGATGTTTTTATTATATCTTCCTTTCCCTCTCCCTTCCTCTCTGAAATCAATAAAAGTATATTAAAAAGTATTAGTGTTCAAATTTCCCTGACTGTCACATACATGTTTTCTTATAGTTGGTTTGAAATAGGATTTGAATGAGATCTATACATTGCACTGAGTTAGTATGTCTCAAGTCTCTTTTAATCTCTCATTTTGCTTGTAATTTATTTTTTGCTCTGTGTTTCCCCAAGTCTGAATTTTGCCAGTTCCATCCCTGTGGTATCACTGCCATGTTTTGCTGTCCTTGTATTTTCTGAAAATCAAATACATAAAGACCTGATTTGATTCAGGGTCAATTTTTGACACAAATAATTGCTAGTATATTTTTAACAGGAGGCATAGCATATCCAGTTACTTCTCTTTTTGTGATGTTACTAGGAATTGAGAAATGGTAATCTAATTCTATCAGCCTTCTTCACTTACTAGTTATAATACTTCTATAAAAAGAAACTTTCACAAATCAACTATTTGGTTATCCTGAGGTATGTGTATAGAAAAGGCCTTTAAATATTAACTATAGACATTAATATAAAATTTACTTGTATGTATTATAAAAGCTTCTTACATTACATACAATCTAGTGTCTCCATTGCAATATAATTTAAACTAATTTAGTACTATAAATAATTTTAAAGTACGCCTGAAAATTTTATCTTGAACATCTCAAAATTTAAACTAAGAAATCATATCCTCTATTTTAAGTAAAATTTCCCTTAAAAAATAAGTAAGTGAAATAAGCTAGGTTTAGATATAGTATTCTTAATTAACACATTATACTATCAGATAAAATATAAATGTCCTTGATTCAATAACATACATTTAATGACAAATACATCTGTTTAAATGTTCATGGCCTAGAATTTCATTTCATGGGCTGTGTTCTGCTACTTCAGGTAGGAAACTCCTACCCTACAGGTGCCAAAACACACTAAAAACTTTTCCAAGGGGAAGTAAACATTATTTAAAAAGTTCTTAACTTTTCAAAACTAAAGAATAAAACTAAAGAGACTAAAGAAATAGATAAAATTATACAAAAATATAATTAGTTTAAGGAATGGCAACCTTGACGTGAGATAAAAATAAATGGCTTAAATTTATTAAAGAGGACTTTTGACTTCTTTAAAAGAAAGATTCTACTAAAAAATTTGAAAAAGCAAGGTTCTAAGACTTCAGGTGATTCTAAATATATACAAGCTCCTTGGAATCTTTAAATATCATTCCAAATCTTATTTCGGTTTTTAAAAAATAAAAACTAGTTTAGCTTTTAAATTAAAAGTCACACAAATTTCAAAATAAACTCATGTGTGACATAAGATTCAATCAAACCTTTAAATAATATACCTCTTACACTTGAAATGAAGGATTCTAGTCTTTCAAGCAACTCCAAATCTCTTTCAAAGTCATAAAAATGGTGTTCAACCCAGTGCCGAAATACATTTAAGATCCTGATAAAATGGGGAAACAAACAAACAAACACATTTTAATAAAACCTAAGCATTAAATTATACTTCTTTTACCTCTCTATTGCCATGGTGATAACTTTACATACAAAGGCCATAACATTCAGAGTCTAATTTGTATTTAATTAATAACTTAAGTGCTTCAACAATATGAAGACAGATCTCAGACTGTTCATTATTTTAAAATTACACTTTTTAAAAATTTTACAAGCATAAAATATGGTTCTTATAATGGTTCCTTAATTACAGATTACTCTTCAGCAAAAGTACCTTTTCTTTTATTCATACATACAAAATCATTCTCTATACTATACAAAGCTATTTTAAATGCTTATATTAAAAAGGATTTTTATTATATAAATTTTTATATATTTTCCACATAAGATGGAAAATAAACTACGATTTTGTATATTTGGTTAAAATTTCTATGTAATTTACAGATATGTCCACATTCTTTTTTTTTCAAAAGAAAAAATATTTCTGACAGAGCTATTTTGTTTTGCAGTATCATAAAAATATTATTTATGACTGTCCAATTAGAGATTTAATCAATCTAGACAAATATAAGATTCTACTGAGACTTAAGAGATACAGTAAATTAATTAGATTAGCATTTTTTCTTCAATATTTCAGTGGGTGACTATTCCTATATTTTTATTCAATTATTAGTGACATTAGTTATAGGTCTTAGGTGTACAATTTTATAAGATACTAGTGGCCCTGCGCACGAATCCCTGTGCCAGTAAGCTTGCCAGTAGCTCACTGTCGCCCTCCAGTAGCTCTCTGCCCGCTGCGCCACCCTCCTTAACTCCTCCCCCACTCCCTCTTCTCCCTCATAGCTTGCTGCCCTGCCCCTTCCTATAGCTCTCTACCACCCGCTTGCAGCTCGCTGCCCCAACCTCCTGCTGATGTGTGATCCAGTCAGTTATGTGGTCGGTCATTATGCAGTTGGTAGTTACGCTTCCAGCGTAATGACCATGTGCATATTTATCTTTATTATATAGGAACACCTGTTAATTGTATTGTGTTCACCACCCCAAGTCAAGTCTCCTTCCATCACCATTTATCCTTCTGTTGCGCTCTTTTACCTCCCCCATCCCATTTTCCCTCTGGTAATCATCATACTGTTGTCAGTTTATGAGGATGGGTTTTGTTGTTTTTTTCTTAATTTCTTCATCTTTTTCATCCCGCCCACCTATTCCCTCCCCTCTGACAGCTGAGTCTGTTTCTATTTTGTTCTTTAGATTCCACATATAAATGAAATCATATGGTATCTGTCTTCCTGACTGGCTAATTTCACTTAGCGTAATACTCTCCAGGTTCATTCATGCTGTCACAAAGGGTAAGATTTGCTTCTTTTATATGGAAAAGCAGTACATTCCATTGTATAAATGTTCCACAGATTTTTTTTTATCCACTCATCTACTAATGCATACTTTGGCGGCTTCCAAATTTTGGTTACTATAAATAGCACTGCAGTGAACATAGGGGTGCATATATTCTTTCAAATTAGTATTTCAGGTTTCTTTGGATATATTCCCAAAAGTGGAATCACTGGGTCATAAGACAGTTCCATTTTTAATTTTGTGAAGAAACTCCACACTGCTTTTCACAGTGGCTGCACCAATCTGCATTCCCCCACCAAAAGAACACGAGGGTTCCCTTTTCTCCTCATCCTTCCCAACATTTGTTGTTCATTTCTAGGTTAGCTTTCTTCCTTTCTAACTGACAGACAATAACTTTTCTCCCAGGCTAAGAAAACTCTTTAAATTCTCAATCACTATCATGCTATCTGATCAAAATAACCTTAGTTTCTGTATGCCTGGTTAGTTCTGTGTTTAGAAAATATTTCAAGATATCACAAAACTGTTAGTTTCTAGTTTGCACAGGGTTAATTAAATAACTATTTCCATTTCCTCTCCTTCCTAGTTTCTACAGTATCGAATGTAATTTCAAAATTATCATGTAAGAGAAAAAAAATCTCATAATTAGATTTCATCAAAATGAAAAACTTCTGCTCATCAAAATATATTATTAAGAAAAGTGATATGTAAGCCCAGATTGAGAGAAGAATTTATAAACATTTATTTGACAAGACTAGAATCTAACCCTATTCAATAACTATAACAACTCAATAGTAAAAAAATAACTCAAAAAATAGGCAAATTTTAATAGATTCTTCACAAAATAAGTATGAATAACCAGTAAGAGACAATATAAAGTTTTCAACATCATTAGTCATCAAATTAAAACCACAGAGAAGTACCACTATACCCCCTCAGTGTGGAAAGGTATAAAGGTAATCATCATTAAATGCTAATGAGTATTTGAAGCAACTGGAACTCTAACACATTGCTAGTAAGAGTGTAATACAGTATAATCACTTTGAGAAAAATCTGGCAGTTTATTTTAAAATTAAACAAACACCTACCCTACAACTCACCATTCCACTCTGAATTATTAACCCAAGATACTATACGAAAAAGTATATTCACAAAAAACTTAAAAAATAGAAGTTCATAGAAGCTTTTTTCATAACAATAAAAAACGAAAATAACCAGGTGTTCTTCAGTAGGAAAATTAACAAACTGTGGTATCTATACATATATAAAGGCTAAATGTCTGACTGTCCACCTGTCCGACCAGCCAGTACATATGATGCGCACTGGCAATTAAAAAATAAACATTGACTTGCGCATGCACAAGATCTCACTGGCACCAATTGCATGCATGTGTTTTTATCTGTCATTGTTGATCGTGAATTTGGTTGTTTTTTTTGGCATTCTGAAGCTTAAAGAAAGCAACATCCTTGACAGAATATGTCTGAAGACCAACTACTGGCACAATTAATTTCCTTTCAATGTGCACAGATCCATGCACCAGGCCACTAGTATAAATATAATAGAATACCACATCAGCAATAAAATAGAACATACTACTGATACAAGCAACAACATGCAGTGAAAGAAGTTAGATACAAAAGAGTATATAAGAATCCATTTATATAAAATTCTAAAATAGGTAAAATTAATCTATGTTGTAAGATAAATACTGCTCTAGGCAATCAGAACAAAAGCCGATTAGAATGGGCATAAAGGGACTTTCTGGGGTGATGATAACATTTTATATCTTGAAAGGAATTTGGATTATAGAAATGTATGTATTTGTTAAAAGTCAACCAAAGTGTATTGTATACAGAGTTTAGAAAAAAAGAATAAATAAATGCCATTAATGATATACAAGTGGAAATGTTTAAAGAAAAGTGTACTTTAAATTACAACTCCCAATTAGATGATTAATGGACCAATAGAATGATAAATTAATGTATGATAAAATCAGTATAGCAAAACATTAAGCTTAAAGTTATTAGATATTCATAATGAGACATGAAGAAAAAAAGATGTGTGTGTGAGGGAGGAGTTGACAATAGGCAAACTCATATGCAATTTTATAAGTTTTACTTAATAGGTATCCTGGTCTGTAAGAATATCACCTGCCAGATATCTGATGCAAATAACATCTATTTTTTCCCATTTTTTATAAGGTATTATATATGTACATAACTTACCATTGCCCCTCCCACCCCACTTCCATACATGCCCTCGCCCTCCAGCGCTTTGCGTCCTTTGGTTATGCTTATATGCATCTATTTTAATAATTAAAATTCTTCAGGGTATTTAAGAATAACTTCATAAAGAAAGAATTTAACTGCTATGAGGTTAACAACAATGCCTATACCTGAATTAAGAGATAAGACTTTTGTGCTAACTATATACTGAAAATCGAACGGCACATTAAAGATATAATATACACGCCAAACCTAAGTTGCACTGGTTGGACGTATTCCTTGCGAAACCTTTTCAGGTCTACACTAATTGGTTGTTCGCCTTTCTCAGCTGCCAATTTATCTGCTTCAGTAGGTTCTGGCTCTGGAATTTCAAATCTAAGAAGAAAAGCAAAATGAGAGAAATTTTTCCATGTTTATACAAAAGTGAAAATAATTTCAAACACAGCAGTAAGAATATTTTAACTAAGCCAAAACCGGTTTGGCTCAGTGGTAGAGCGTCAGTCTGCGGACTGAAAGGTCCCACGTTCCATTCCGGTCAGGGGCATGTATGTTGGTTGCGGGCACATCCCCAGTAGGGGGTGTGCAAGAGGCAGCTGGTCGATGTTTCTCTCTCATTGACGTTTCTACCTCTCTATCTTTCTCCCTTCCTCTCTGTAAAAAATCAATAAAATATATTTTTTTAAAAAAAGAATATTTTAACTAAGCAATATTGTTTTCTACTATTTATGTGAAAAGTATAATTACTGATAAATTTTCCTTAAAGCATTACATACTACAAAAAATTGCCCTTTGACTATACAGTACTAAGGTTTTATAGTCTTACTTCTATAAAAAAAAGTTTAGTAACTAATATTTATCAACATAGAAAAGATCAATGGAAAATACTCAAGAAAAAAATCTGTAAGGAGTATAATTTCTTTACTATCTATAATATTTAGTTTTTAAATGCAAGTAAACTTTCCTTAAATAAATGAATATAAATCCAAAGAGAGGGTCCAAACTGAATTTTAAACAGTAAAGAACATACCTAAGTGGATAAAGTAAAAAGCGAAGTTAAAAAAAAACACACACCAAAAACTGCCCATAAGAAATATAGCTAAAATATGTCTAACATGCATGCTTTCCTAATTTTGGACATGAAAATACAACCAAGTAAATGTTCCCAGCTCATTATAGTGACTCAGTCTGGTAAACTTTGTTTCATTGAAAAACATGATAGATGTCAAGATAAAATTCTGGCATTAAGTTTTTAAATGTGAAACAAAAATTATTTTGGAGTCCAGATGCTACAATTAACCTTTAAAGCATTTTAAATGCTACATTTAACCTTTAAAGCATTTAAACTAAACTCAGTAAAACATAAAAAGTCAATCTAAAACTTACTTTTAAAAATTAATCACAATAAGAAAATATTAATTTTAGGTCTAATAATGATATAGATTATGTTTTTAATAAGAGTATAATACTTATCTTTTAGAAATACAACTGAAAATATTTACAGGTGAAATACACTTCTAGAATATACTGCAAAGACAGTTACCCCTTGGTATCCCCAGGGGGTTGTTTTGTTGCTGGCGTCCCTTAGCCCTCCATATCCTCAGATATGGAGACGGATAAGAGTAGTGAACCCATGGAAACAGAGACTATAATCCTGGGATTAGGATGGTGAAATGGTAGAAAAATAGGGCACAAATGAGTTGATAATTACTGCAGTTGGACGACTGATACATGAGCTTATTATATTTTCCTATTTACTCTTGTACACATTTTGAAATACTTCGAAACAAAAAGCTTTTTTAAAAGTAAAAAAGTCTCTTTTAAGAAAAAAATTGTTTTATTGTACAGAAAACAATTTAATTAAGATACATAGTATTTTTATCCTCTAAAATGGTTCTTTCTGACTACCACTATAAACTTTGCTAAGCTCTGAAAAGACCTCTATTATAAACAAGGATTTCAGTTTAAGCACACTGTTTAAGTGAACAGAAAACTGCTAATTTTATGCCAAATTACATTTAAAAACCACTTGAGTAGATACTAGGCACTCAGCATTTTACAAGATAAAAAACAGTTCTGTTTTTACAAAATGCAAATATAAGTGAAATAAAAAATTTTCTTACCGTTCAATCAGTAAGCTTAGCAATTCCTGTGGTTTACAAAATGAACGATATGTAGTAAGAAAAGTACGAACAAAATTGGGATCTGAAAAAATAGAACATAAAACAGGTTGCATATTCAATTTATTCAGCATATTTTGGAGGCCTTACTTCCTTTTTCCTTTTATCCTGGCTTTTCCAACTGTGGCTCTTTCTGCCAATCACAGTATTTCTTGAGAAATGAGGACTGTTTTCATATTCAAGATTTATGGATATACAATTTTTATGAATATTTATCAGTGAAGTTAATAATATTGTATTTTAGAGACATTTAGCTACTTTTTCTTTTTGATTCTGCAGTATTCTTTTCATATTTTAGAGGCATTTTTTTTTTTTCAGGCCTCAAGCCTTTTGAACATTTTTGAAAAGCTTTTAGCTCCAGTGGTCAGCAAACTTATTAGCCAAATATCAATAGTACGACGATTGAAATTTCTTTTGAAAGCCAAATTTTTTAAACTTCTTCTAACGCCACTTCTTCAAAACAGACTCACCCAG